ACCAACTATTGCCATGCTATTGCAATGGTTTTTTCTCTCCTTGAATTGTCTCATTTGAAGTCATTTCCATAATGAGTGTATAGTTTATATCAAAACAGAAACAAGTTGAACTAGTTTCAGTCTCTTTAAATAACTGACAAGGAACTTGCACCCAGATCAAGTATAGAGTTAAAACATAAACTCAATGAAGCTGCAAGTCTGCACCCAAATAATAAACAAATACAAAACATCATATATATTTAATAAAAGTTGTGCGCTGCATTTTATCAACAAAAGTCAATTACTAAGCTATCGATTGTCACATACTATCGATGCAAACTGATATTGTTTCGATTCTGCTATCAACAGAAACAACAACTGCAATCCATCGATAGTTCGATGCATCGTTTTCAGCCCTACCTGGAAGGATGGTGAGGTGGAGAGAACTACGTCGACCAGCATGACAAGATGTGCCAGGCTACATGGACGGCAGATCGTGTCATCTCATATCTTGTGTTTGGAATATGCTTGGCGTCCACGCTTCTGGTTTGTTTCTGTATATCCTGTTTAATTCATGGTTTTTCCCAAGTGAAGGGATTCCTACTCTCATGGCTTTCTCCGGCCTCACCATTCGGGACAGGCTGTGATCACGTCCGTTCTCGGTGTTCATCAGGAGAGATTCAAAATAATAGCCATAACCTCTGGCATAACTCAAAGTTCTAAGGGCCGAGGTTTCCACTGATAATCATTGACCGAGCAACCGCTGTATACAGTTTCGCACAGGCATCATGCGCTTTGTCATTCACTGGGATTGCAAAAATGACTTTTTTTCGTCACAGAGTTACATTTTACCTCAGGATCAGACGCCTGTGTGGTGGGGTTTTGGTACAATGCAAGCTCATACTCCTGGCTACGACAAAGGGAGTAAATATGCTTATCAGCCAGTCCTTGTCGCCGTACATCAGGCATCCATGTTATGGGTAGCACATTGTAAGCTAGGAACCAGTGGTTGGGACATTAATTACTGGAAACCAGCGTGAAATGGTTCGATTCCCCTTGTGGGGTTCAGATTTAATCCCAGGGTGCAACAATTGAATGAATATGGTACAGTTGTTTCATGATGTTCATAATCATAAGGGGACGGTGGGGTAGCCTAGTGGTTAAAGCGATCGCTCGTCATGCCGAAGACACGGGTTCGATTCCCCACATGGGTACAATATGCGAAGCCCATTTCTGGTGTCCCCTGACGTGATATTGCTGGAATATTGCTAAAGCGACGTAAAACCCAACTCGCTCACTCACTCCATAATCATAATCTTGAAGAATGTCTGGCCAGAATGAAAAGTGGATCACTATTTCTTATATGGTCAACCTCTAGTGTTTCTGATGATACGTCTAGAGCCAGAGCAACTAGATATTCACTCACTCACCACTCACTCACTCATTATTTTGGCTCACTCGACCAATTGTTTGTTCGAACATTCCCAGAAGGTGCATACGATTCTTTTACTAAAGGTTTTATTAGATTTACAGCATTCAAGGCCTGCATGTGTTTGTGAATTTGTGACCTTTTTTACGACCACCTTGTGTCATCATTAATTGACGGTAATAAAAACAAATGGCAATGACCCAGTCGTAATCTAGACATTGCTTCAAAGCAGAATCTTTACTTCAGTCCTCAAAACTTCTTAAGTTTCCTTTTGCATTTGATACGAGGAAACGCATTTAATTGTCACGTTGCTTTGTAGCCAGACACTTCTCTGATCGATCACAATACGGAACCTATTATCAACGTCTCAAAACAATATTGTCCATATCAATATTGCCAACAACGACGTCAAGCCCCTTATCCACACACACAGAAGTAGAAAAAGGCTTCCATGCTCTTATGCTACTGACATCCTGAGCCAAAAAGTAAATAAAGCCATGTAAGATAAACATATCGATCATCACACATCATGACAAAGGAAGTCTGACATGACAGTTGATCAATAGCTATAAATATCTTAACCTTTTTACAATGGGGAAGTATGAACATTTTCACGCAAGTGGCACGTAATAACTAATTATGCTCGAAAATGCTTCCATATTTGCAAGACCATTTACGTCTCACTGAAGGTAATATGAGCAGAATCCAACTGATGATGTTATGTGCTGTTCAGATATACGTTAAACTGATAATGAACTCTACAACATTGTAACTATATATGACAATACAATATATAAACAGGCTATAGATTACCAACAACTGAAGGTGGATCACCTTGCTAGGGCCGAGAATCGTCAGAGATATCAACATACAATTTGGCAGGTTACATGACCAATCTGTGACCGATGTATACTTACTGCCCAACCTACCTGTGGAACACACACATGAGTGAGTGAGTGAGTTCAGTTTTACACCGCACTCAGCAATATTCCAGCTATATGGCGGCGGTCTGCAAAATCGAGCATGAGCATCGATTTGCGCAATTGGGAATCGATGACATGTGTCAACCAAGTCAGCGAGCCTGACCACCTGATCCCGTTAGTCGACTCTTACGACAAGCATGGGCTACTGAAGATCAATATTCTAACCCGCACCTTCAAGGGTCGAAACACATACAAAACGTTCACAGATATTATTGTAAAACTAGTCTGAAAATCTAGAAATAGTTTGACCTTGAAAGACATTGCAATATAAAAAACAGGCTATAGATCGCCAACAACTGAAGGCAGATCACCATGCTAGGGACGGAACAGAAGAACCAGCCCCAGTTCCAGCCCCATAGTTGAAAGTATATGTGCTCACATTCAGGATAAGTCATAAACACTAAATATACAGTTAAAAAAGAAACGCATAACCCAGAAATCTGTTGCGAAAATGTTGTATTTTCAAGCATGTATAACTCGTCCACAAATAGACTTCAGTACATGGACTTTTACATCGGTTTAGAAGAAGGGGATGTCTATACAACCAAGTGGATACTTTTAGATAACGGAGGAGTTGAGCGCGATGGTGACCACGTAGCATGGTCCCGAAGTCGGGTCTCCTGGTTCTCAGTCCAACCTCTCTCAACTGTTGCGTACAGTTTGACCGGATATCCTTCGAAGTCCTGGCACCCTGGCTGCTGTGCTCTCACCCGTGGCAGTACGATCACGCAAATGTAGTACCCGGATGTACCGATCTTGGCCTGCAGTGTTGACTCGGAGGTCCGCCTGTACGGTGACGGTCATTTGTTATGACTGCTTGGTTGTAATGAGCTGCAAGCAGTGATATCGTGCTCAGACCAACATTCAGAAGCCTGGCAACAGAAAATTGGTAATCAACAGCGTGCATACGTTCAATAGCGATGTTCCGTGTCGCAGCGTCAAGACGTGGCGAAGTGATTGACCTTGAAACCCCTTCAAAACGAATGCCGATTTCCGAAAATAACCTTGATTTTTAATGCCAGACAGTGCATGCTCTTTGCTGCACAATTTTACTTGGAAGGAGATTTCGGTTGCGTTGTGGCGATGCCTTTTTAATTCTTGCAATAAATCTCATCAAAATCAACATTCTTTAGGCAAAGTCGATGTTTGACTTGTGCAATAGTGTATAATCATGTTATCAACACTTTTATTACATATTTTGACGATTGTTTGAAAACAATAGGTAATTAATAGATTTTTAAAAATACAAAACATCAGCATGTGCGTTTCTTTTGGAGATAGTATATTACAAAAATATTGTTAGTTTAGCTGCTGAATAGATGCACAAAAAACCTCACACAAACTCACCCAGTCACAGCTGGTTGAAAGGCTCCGAAATATTTGCACTTTATGTAATGGGTACCCGTGGAGTTATTCAAAATACATCAACCATATCCTAGCCCCTAGAGAATATAACGAGGCAGACACTCCAGGCTAAATAAAGTACACCAGTGCAGTATTATCGCATTATCTATCAACAGAACGGGTCATACGACTTCACTGCACCAGGGCAGAGCAAAGTCTAGATCAACATTACAACTACCCGACTGGAGTCAGTTGTTACTTGCGCAAGGGTGTGCTTTAGCGGAGACACGCTTACAGAGAGGGACCTCTCCGCAAAGGAAGTATATTAATATCATATAATAATCTACAGACGTACGTGCTTGAAGAATGACTACTGACAATATTTAGGGTAAGTTATTATATCCACATATGTAGTGTGTCCCATCCACATTTGTGTCAAACTACTGGGTCACTCGGTGTCAAAATCTTCTAAAAATTAAAACACGTTTTGTCGAAAACGCTGTAATGAAATCACCTGACTAGAGTGGAATGAAACTTGTGTTGTATTTTGAATGTATAGGCATCATATCATATATAGGTATTCGCTTGTGTGAATGTGTTGTCTCGTTTGTATCTATTCAGTGGTTGGTGAAGGATCATATGTCATGGCGTCAAAGGCTAGAGTTCTCCATTGTTGTGTTTGTAAGAAGCCATACAAATACAAAGGTGCAGATCCATACCTCCTTCCGTGTTTGCATTCAGCCTGTGCTGAGTGTATTGGCGCTAAAGGTGAGGCAATAACATGCTTGTTCTGCCGAGAGTCATTTGACAAAGGGAAATTCATTTTCCTAAATGATGCTATCACTCAAGCAGAAACCCTTGCTTCTACTCTTCAATATAAGCCTTCGGAGATCAAATGCACCAACAAGGACCATAATTTGGATGCAGTATCGTGGTGCAAAGAATGCGAGTCCTTCTTCTGTCTTTCATGTCAAGCTGCACACAGCCAGGTAAAGAGTTCCAGCACACATAGGATGGTGTCCCTGAAGGATATGGTGGCAGCGGATTTGCAGTCACTGAAGTCGTTTTGTCCAGACCACGAATCCTACGCTTTGGATCTTTACGATGAAACGTGTGAGATCCTCATTTGTTCAAAATGTGCTCGGTCCAATCACAAGCACTGTCAGAGTGAGGAGTTGGATGATGTTGTTGCTGCTGTGAAGAAAGAAACAGAAGAAGATAAGATGAAATTAGCAACCAAATTGCAAAACGTCAAAGTTTGATCGACGAATCAAACGAAAAACAGGAGATGATGAGGAAAAGGCACAGCACATTGAAGGATTTGTTGACAAGCAGATTCAACAGCTTACGTGACTTGATAACAAGACGAGAAGCGGAATTGACGAAAGCCCTGGAGTTTAGACATTTGTCTGAGATGGATGAGGCTGGGAGGGTCAGCAGCAAACTGGAAGCAGATGTTCAGTATATGCGACAATACCCATAGTTACACAGGGAAACTACTTGAGCTTGGTAACAAGAGCGATATGCTGATGTTGAAGGAGCCTGTTAAGTTCAGGACTGAAATGGCTTTATCTGAGGGGGCAGAAGTGTTTGACTTTGTCCCTGTGCATGTAACATTTTCAAAGGAAAACATACACGCTCTTAAAAATATTCTACAAACCGTGTGCGACATTGAGACAACAGAGGGGGATGATGGAAGTTTCCTCAATCTATATGCTAATTATGAGGGATCTCCTGAGAAAGGTAAGCTTATAACCTTTAATTAATTCCTTTGATAGAAGCTCAACAGAGATATGCGTTTCTTCTAAAAGAGCGTCGGATAACTTTTTATTGTGCTCTTGTCGTGACCTATCACAATATCTTTGAAACGAGGTACGGCACCAAAGAATCATCCATGAGGCATTACAATACCGAAATATGTGTTGTGTCTTATAGAACTAAAATACACCAGCGATAGCTTACAAAACACTATGCATTCTTCCTTTTATGTACATGTAGAGACCTTTAATGTTTAATACGTGATCATTCTGTCTGTTTTTCAGGGATAACACTTGTTGTTATCAATTGGCCATTTGTTATTCACATGGATTGAGAATATGTTCTTGCCACGATCATGTAAATAGACATACAATCATTTATGATTACAGATGTTCCAGGCATTGCAGATGATGATCAAAAAGGCGATGCCAGACATGTGAAAGCTGGTAATATTTGATGGATCAACATCTCACGATGACATCGTCTAGTTGTTTTTAGAACTACTGACAACAATAACGTACTGGAAAGGAAAAATATATTTGATCACTCTTGTTTATGTGTTTTCGCATCTTTGGCACAAACGATTTCAGATCCTTAAAACAGCCAAACTACCTTCCAGTGTTTTCAACTGTTACTGACAGTAACCTTTCACATCTTATATAAGGTAATAACATACTGACAGAATCAGTACTGATTATTGACATCATTGCATACCACAGTTGTTCTTTGGCAATATGTACAATGTTTCCTACATCGTTATAAATTGGTCATAACAGAAAAGCAAATACCTGTTGTGTAATAACCTGACAAGAAAACGTAAACACACGAAACAAAAAATCCTTAGAATACTTTATAAGATATAACATTTCATGATGCAGAAAGGGAGCCCATTGACTTGGACCCGGACAACGACAACGGAAACAAAGAAGAACACAATGAAGAAAACGAACAGGGCACTGGAGCAGAGCTTATCGATGACACTGGCCCTTTATCATGTAAGTAGATGTGCAGATGGTTATCACACGTCATGCCAATAGAGACTGATTGATAACGATTCATATGAAATAGAATTTCAAGACAAGAGACAGTTTACAACCCATTGCTACACAGAAACAATATCCTTGTACATTACAGACCCTGCTTTGAAGTTCGACATGGAAAGAATTAACACCAACAAGGTCCACGTCAATAACAAAGGCTTCTTGGTCAATACCACAGTTTCTCCAGAAAGGGAACTAAGACAGTACGTAGGGACGACAGCTGTTACACCTCTCCCCAAAAACAAATTCAGCTATTGGGAGGTACAATCAGACTTTGACATGGCTTCTAAAATGCACCAACGTGGCTTACTTATGGAAATAGGCATGGCTACAGGAGCATCATTGGACAACAACTATTGCATGAGTGGTCAGGTGGGATCCAGGTGCCTCGCTATCGCGCACTGCTCTGCACACGATGGAGTCTGTGCGAAGGTCTGGAGCAATGGCCAGAAGTTGAGATGCTATGAAAACGTTTTGTCCACCGGTTCAGGAACATCTGAGACGCTACGACATGGGCTTCTGTATGACGGTACAAGGAACATCCTTACTGTATTTGACCTCAACAACGTGGTTCAGCTTGTAGCTCTGGGCAAAGGTGAACTGGACGATGATCAATGGCCAGTGTTTGGGGCATACAATTCGTCCCTTGCTGCTGTTCAAATGAAGCTGGTATCAGGAAGCGAAATAGAGATGTTCAATTCAAAGACAAAAATGCTGAAAGGAGCATTGAATTCTGTTCTTTAAGTGAATAGCAAAAGATTTCCGGCTGAACATGTGTGTTTGCAAAAAGTTGTATGTTTCAACATACAATTGTTTCCTCTTTTTGGGTGACTGATCACATCACTAACCTACAGTATACACATATATTTGGAAAGTATTTTGTATCTGCCCAAATGAATGTATTTCAGCTTTCTTGATACCAATGTGGTTGTTCTAGACATTGGGCAGGGCAGCTACGTTGTCAGCAGATTCGCCAGGTATTTGGATGAGGTGTGTTTCAAACCACGACCTGTGCTTGTGTATTTTGTTACAAATGTTTCGTCATTGGCCATTAGATTTGCAAAACTGCGAGGATCTACTAGTTGATTATAAGTGAAAATTTCCTCAGGAGTGTTCCTTTTAGCTTTAAATATGACGTGTACATTCTCCAAATCTGCTATGCAATTTCTCTATCCTCTTCAACAGTCATGGATTATATCTGGGGCTGAAACAGAATTAATCAACAGCTTATCTATGTGTCCAAGGTGTAACTTACATGACCTACATATAGCGGCTACCGTGTTAGTGTAATGTTATGTGCACGGATATTTTATGTGATTTTGCTATTCATATATGATGCTTAGTATAATAAAGCAGACCCCCTATGAATTTGGAAAGGGTTGTGTGACTTCTTCATTTATGCATTCTCAAAACTCTACGTCATAACAGGGAGTAGCAGATAGCAAGATATGAATTCAGAATACATATTCTGCCATTCCTTCAGAAAATACTGGATTGTGATTGGGTAATTAAAGTCATTCAGAGGTATATAATGACGTTATATACCTCTGATTTTCCAACACAGTATGCATTTTTTTTTTAAATTCTTAATAACACGGTTATGGAAGAATGAAGGTAAACACACTGTGTTGGAAAATCAGAGATATATAACGAAATTATTATAGCTCTAATCTTTTTATTTAAAACCTTATCTTTATATGAAAACAGCATTCATAAGATTTGATCATATCCTATACCAACAAAAAGTAAACCACAACACGTCAAAGTCACCTGCAAGGTTGAAATAGTGTACACATCAATGCCACTGCTTTAACGGATAAAACTGCGCCTAACGAACACGTGTCACATCGTCCATATCTTTTTTTTCTGATCATAGTTATATACGGGACGTGCACACGTGGTCGTCACCAGTTCGAAGGTAAACCTCCCAACTTTCTACCACACAGTCATGCTGACCCATACTTTGCACTGTACTGATCTATTGCATAAACCCCTGTACATATTATCATTCAACTTCGCCCACATAGTCAACTGCCCTAAACGCTCTATGGGTTTCAAACACACTGTCTTCACCCCGGTGCACAGACATCGCCATTGAACGTACCAGCAACAACACAGACACAGTAATGACACTTATATGAATTATTCAACATGTTACTCACTAGTATGTACATGCATGTACATGTAGGTAGGTAGGAATGTAGGTGGGTAAGCATCTAAGAATGTATATATATAGGTAGGAAGGTAGGCAGGTAGGTAGGCAGGTAGGTAGAAAGGAATGTTGGCAGGACGGTAGGTAGGAATGTAGGCCGGTAGGTAGGAGGAGGATAGATAGATAGATAGGCAGGTAGGTAGGAGGGTGGATAGATAGATAGATAGGCAGGTAGGTAGGTAGGAGGATGGATAGATAGATAGATGGATAGACAGACAGATAGATAGATAGATAGATAGGCAGGTAGGCAGGTATGTAGGTAGGCATAACTCTGTCGGTGATGAATCACACAGGAACACTGCCAACGTCTTTTGAGTAGTAAACTAGGTCACATAGTCCAAATCTGTGAGTACTCCTGGTAGACTAACGCTTAGTCTCTGAATATATATAATTGTGATAGTAAGAAACAAATGTGAATTGAAAAGGAGCCTCAGGGAGACCAGAAAGGAAATCTAGACTTGCTTCATTTAAGGCTTTAGTATTGCAGAGAGGGCTTGTCAGTAGAGAAAATAATAGGGTACAGGGACTGTGAGACAGACTAGGCTATACTTATACATATGTCACTGTATACGTATTAGTAAATGTTCAACATCCTATCACCACTAGTTTCAGGTACTACATGAATAATGTGTTCTCAATTTTGAATGTTCAGTAGAACTAGAAGATTAAAATATTTACATCAACATATTGCGAAAACAAATTGAAAGGTCTGAATCATGCTAGAATTCTTAATTCAATTCAATTTATGACTCAAAACACCACCAACGGTGGTACATGAGAATACAATATTACTATAGTCATATAAATATATTCAAAGTCTCTTTGAAAAGCTTCTCAATCACTGAGCTCATACAACAAAACTTGCATGCGCTAACTCCGAGTCACTCACATAATCTCCCCATACAACTTACAACCTGAACAGTCCAACCAAACGTCCGTGTCTACAGTCAAACCAAACTATCAGATTGTACACTGTAATAGTGACAATACATCTTGCGATGAAACAAGCAGTTGACCTATATTTGGATAAACCAAGGTCTGAATAAATAATGATCACATGACGTGCATCAACGCTTTATGAGGCATGCGTATCACATGCTGACAGTGGACTCGAGAAAGAATCCAGGAAGTAAGGTACTGAATCGTTGAGTGTTGGGTTGAGAGGGTTGTCGTTTACCGCCACGCTAAACATGATAGTGGTTGATATAGAACGTCACGTGAAACCTAAGCACAACATGGCAGATGTTTGTAGGTGTTTGTTTCTTTTTGCTTGTTTGCTCAATGTTGAGACTGAAAGCAATGAGGTGAAATGAAGTGTGCAAAATGAATGTAAAATGCCTCTTGAAAAAACAATCACCGTCTTATGTCAGTTTGGTTTGTAGGTTTCAGACGTTTATAGCTATGGTGAAACGGTATTGTGCTGACACACGTTTAAACATAATGGTGGAAATCAATACAGATGCATTTTATAACATTGCAGAGCTCCAGGAACACCAGGGTATAAGACTGCCATACAGATGCATTTTATAACATTGCAGAGCTCCAGTAACGCCAGGGTATAAGACTGCCATACAGATGCATTTTATAACATTGCAGAGCTCCAGTAACGCCAGGGTATAAGACTGCCATACAGATGCATTTTATAACATTGCAGAGCTCCAGTAACGCCAGGGTATAAGACTGCCATACAGATGCATTTTATAACATTGCAGAGCTCCAGTAACGCCAGGGTATAAGACTGCCATACAGATGCATTTTATAACATTGCAGAGCTCCAGTAACGCCAGGGTATAAGGCTGCCATACAGATGCATTTTATAACATTGCAGAACTCCAGTAACGCCAGGGTATAAGACTGCCATACAGATGCATTTTATAACATTGCAGAGCTCCAGTAACGCCAGGGTATAAGGCTGCCATACAGATGCATTTTATAACATTGCAGAGCTCCAGTAACGCCAGGGTATAAGACTGCCATATAGATGCATTTTATAACATTGCAGAGCTCCAGTAACGCCAGGGTATAAGACTGCCATACAGATGCATTTTATAACATTGCAGAGCTCCAGTAACGCCAGGGTATAAGACTGCCATACAGATGCATTTTATAACATTGCAGAGCTCCAGTAACGCCAGGGTATACGACTGCCATACAGATGCATTTTATAACATTGCAGAGCTCCAGTAACACCAGGGTATAAGGCTGTGATACAGATGCATTTTATAACATTGCAGAGCTCCAGTAACGCCAGGGTATAAGGCTGTGATACAGATGCATTTTATAACATTGCAGAACTCAAGGAACGCCAGGGTATAAGGCTGTGATACAGATGCATTTTATAACATTGCAGAACTCCAGTGACACCAGGGTATAAGACTGCCATACAGATGCATTTTATAACATTGCAGAGCTCCAGTAACGCCAGGGTATAAGGCTGCCATACAGATGCATTTTATAACATTGCAGAGCTCCGGTAACGCCAGGGTATAAGACTGCCATACAGATGCATTTTATAACATTGCAGAGCTCCAGTAACGCCAGGGTATAAGACTGCCATACAGATGCACTTTATAACATTGCAGGGCTCCAGTAACGCCAGGGTATAAGACTGCCATACATATGCACTTTATAACATTGCAGAGCTCCAGTAACGCCAGGGTACACGACTGCCATACAGATGCATTTTATAACATAGCAGAGCTCCAGTAACGCCAGGGTATAACGATGTTATACAGATTCATTTTATAACATTGCAGAGCTCCAGTAACGCCAGGGTATAAGGATGTTATACAGGATCATTTTATAACATGCCAAGGTAAAGACTGCCCTACAGAAGCATATTAAAAATATAGATATGAGTTGATGCGTAAGTGTTTCTTGAGACCTTCTAAATTCCATACAAGGAACGTAGATTGATGATCACGTGGGCCTTGGCCATATCCGTAACTGTCACTGTCAGGTGCATTCTCAGTCCCAGGGCCACGCCCACTTTCCCGGACATCTCCAATACCTGACGTGTCTTGTCTTTGCGGGAGAGTTTTGATTAGCTTCAGAGTACCATTTGGTTCATCGAGTTTAAACAGTCTGTTCTCTATTATCAGTTTGTCATGTCTAAGCACTGAGTAATGACCATCTTGTCTTTCCTTATCCATGAAGACCGCCTCCGTGGTGTCGTGGTTAGAGCGTCCGCCCGGAGAACGGAAGGTCGCGGGTTCGATCCCCGACCGCGTCATACCAAAAGAATGTTAAAATATGGTACTTGTTGGTCCCTGCCTGGCGCTCGGCATTAATGGGTACACCAAAGACTGGTCGGCTCGGAGTCAGTATAATGTGTCTGAGTGGGTTATTCATGCTTCACTGCGGCATGGTATCTCAGTGGGCTAGCACTATAAAACCAGCTTAAGTCTTGGCTAGTACAAGCAGCCGCACATACACAGACACACGCATGCACGTCGTCATATGAGCGAAATATTTTCAAGCACGACGTAAAACCCACTTTCACCTCACCTCACCTCACCTCACCTTATCCATGAATGTTTTCAATATCCGACGAGTTTCTCTAGTCTGTTGTGTGTAGTCCTGGCCGACACTTACACGTGACTCACTCAGTTTTGATGAGGCTTTAGAACAGCACGTTTTGATAAGTGATCGAGAATGTCCCAAGAATTGGTCTTGGTCCTTTGGATTAGGATGCGATGCGTTTAACAATATCAATATCAGCATTAGACATATCCATTGTCTCCCTTATGATAGTCTCAAAATTAATCATTTTGAAACCTCACGCTACGCGTTCGGTTCCAAATGATATTTAGAGACTATCACTTCTGCCTTACATTCATCCAATTTCCCAACACAGTACGTTTATCTCCTAAGTATATTCAGACACAATTAAAGAAACATGTTAAAACTCATCCTTATCAGATGAGGATTATATACTAGCCACATAAAGAAACTGTGCATTGTCAAAATGTTATCCCAGTTGATAAGTACGATAACAATGTCAAAGGTATATATAAACTTTAATGGAGGGATCATGAGACCATAACAAGTCGGGAGAATTTCAGTTGAAAAGTCAATCACAATGACATCACGAGTCCACAAGCGGGACAGGGGTCAAACAACCATGTCACAAGCTCAATAACGGGTATGTCCACCATCGGCATT